GAGGAGAAGAAGAGGAGGAGAAGGAGAAGGAGGAGGCGAAGAGGAGGAGAAGGAGAAGGAGAAGGGAGAGGAGAAGGAGAAGGAGAAGAGGAAGAGGAAGAAGAAGAAGTCACCTCAAGCAAGACATCTGGTCTGGGGGCCCTGAATGGCAGGCCAAAAAGTTTGACTGTTTTATAGGTGCAGGGAAGTGCTGCTGGGGTTCCCATGAGGTTCACTTTGGCACCTTCATCTTTCATGAACTACTTGTTCCATTTTCATTTCTATAATAACCAAGACATGGTGTGTGTTACACTACAGAAATGGAAGAGCTTTATTCAATACATTACCCGAATTGTTGACAGGAAAACAGTTCTGGGCTCTGAATGGCTATGACCTTCAGCGAGGTTACCCCAAGGATATATCAAGCTATGGCTTCCCAAGCACTGTCCAAGCAATTGACGCAGCTGTTTCCTACAGAGGCAAGACATACTTCTTTGTAAACAACCAAGTCTGGAGGTAAGAAAACAATGCTTTCAAATTAAAAATTGAAATCTGTTTCGTTGTCCTGTAAACAAACCATTAACAATCTGACATCTGAAGGTTTTTAACCTACATGGTCTTTGACAGATTAGTGAGGATATAATCTTTATCAAAAGACAATGTTGCCTTTGACTTTTCAAATTTTCATTTTTATCATATTAAATTTTCAAATTTTCATTTTTATCATACACGCACATAAACATTCTGAGGATTCTGTAGCATGAACTCATTCACATGAGGCACCGCAGTAGGAAATAAGGAAAGAAGTAGATTGATTCTTATTTATGAGTGGAGTTCTGACATTCTCAAATGAATATTTGCCACATGGTTTACAGAATTTGATGCATGAGAAGAAGTTATTAAAACATGAAAGCAAAAGGGGGCTTATCTGTGGGGGATAAAGGACAGTAACAAACGAACAAAGTACAATGGTACATGTTATGAAATGTCACAATGAAGCCCACTATTTTGCATGCTGTCTAAAATATTAAAAATTATGAACTTATTTACATTTATGTACATATACACACATCTATGCTTAATTTGCCAAGGAAGTAGAATATTTAGAAAATAGAAGATCTCATTTGGGCAATAATCCCATATCAGCAATCATAATCCTGTTTTAGAATCAGTGGCATTCATGTGTTTTATAAAGAAGTTTGGGTCCTTAGGTAGAGAAACTAATCATTCTCAATCTCAGTCAATAGGATATTGTAAAGACTGAATGAGAAAACTGTCTGAGGGTACTTTGTAACATACACACAGTTAAATGAAAGCTATTACTTTAGTCTATATAGGATTTCAATCCTGTGACATTTGTTCATGGTAGATATGACAACCAAAGACGATCCATGGACCCAGGTTATCCCAAAAGCACACCCAGCACCTTCCCAGGAATAAACTGTAGAGTCGATGCCGTTTTCCTGCAAGACTGTAAGTAGGAAAAATTGACAAATTTGCTTAAAATTTTAAAATAGCACATTTGCTTTTATTATATTTGGTCAGGGATGGGAGCTTATTTGAAGATATCTCAGATCTTCTATAAGCTAATTTGACAAACTTTCTTTTTATAGCCTTCTTCCTTTTCTTCAGTGGACCGAGATACTACGCATTTAATCTCAATACTCACAGAGTCACTGGAGTTGCAAGAAGCAACTTATGGCTTAACTGTAGACAGCGTTGAAGCAAAGCCAAATATCCCTGCATCTATTTTATGAATAAATGGAAATGCAGATTGCGTGTTCACCATATGTGCCCTTCACACTGTTCTCAAGTCTAATTCTGCAGGCATCCTCAGAGAACAGGTGTCTGTAATTCTCCACTCCTGGCCGAGGCTGATTCAGTTCACTAACATTCCAGTCCTGCTTAGGGAACACATCACAAAGAGAAGGGAAGCAAGTCCTTTTGTCATCTCTGTCCACCATTTTATTATCTGCTTATCTGACTTCTAAAGTTCACTGTTTTGTTACTTCCTTATCTGACTTCAAGTATTCCTGTTTCTTTAAATACAGCTTAAATGTACATATAATTTAGCACTGAATTATGGCTATACTTAAGGGTTATTAACAACATAGAGAATATCCCCTTGTCTTTACCAAAAAATGTGGTGCTATTTCCCCCTTTGGAAATAAACATGGAGGATATATATTGTGAGTTGAATTGTGCCCTTCTCCCTGCCAATAAAAAAAATATGGTGGAATCTTAGTCCCAGATGTTTATTTGGAACCAAAGTATTTGCAGATATAATTAAATATGTAAAGGTAACAAGATGGCATTATGTAGGATTAGGGAGGACCCTAAGCCCATATATGTGTCCTTATAAAAGGGGGAGAGGCCTGGGGATACAGCTCGGTGATTAAAAAAAACAAACAAACAAACAAAAAAACACTTGCCTAGCACTCAGGAGACATAGGTTTGATCCAGAGGAAGACAGACAGACAGACATAGCCACCATACAGAAATGGAGACAGAAACTGGACTGATGGATCTACAAGTCAGAGAATGCCAGAAATTGCCAGGCAGTGGAAGCTGGGTAGAGGCCAAGAATCTTCTATCCCCTTCAGGGAGGAGATCCGCCCTGAGATACTTGCTGATTTTGCACTTCTGCCTTCCAGCACCGTTCTTCTGCTTCATAAAAATGTGTGCTACTTTGTAAGAAACGCCCTAGAAAATCAACACAGTGCATCTGCACTTAAGATACTTAGGGATGGAGCTCAGAGGGAGAGCACTTGACTAGCAAGCATAAGCTCCTAGGTTCACTCTCTGGTACTGGAAAAAAAAAAAAAACCACCCAGAATCATCAACTTGGGAGTGATTGACACCTGTTCTTGACAAGATGCCAAAGTAGAGCCCCTGCTTAGTACACCGGGCATCTCCCAGGGCAGCAGCAGAACAGGAAGGTTCCTCTTCCTCGCTCCTCCTTCCTGCTCTCTTCTTTGAGAGGCAAAATAAATGGGCCAGCTGGAGCTCTTGTACTTCCAGGGGTACTTGAAAGGGCACACTCTACAGACATGGGTTCGCTGCACAAAGAGAACAGTGCTGGGCATGAATTTCAGTACCAATCAAGCTAAGCTTCCATACATAAATTTACTAATGGTTCTTTTCTGTTAACAGCTTAAGGACTTATGGACCCACAGTGTCTTTGATCCAAATTGCCTTTTCACCTTCCTCAGTGGTGTGCACCTTTAACCCCAGACATTATACTATTAATGTCTTTGTGGGTCCATAAGTCCAGACATCAAAATCATTATACTATCATATTTGCAGATATTAGAATATAACACAGCTTATGACACAGTAAACATGAAGTGTTAAATGTATTTCTCAAAAGTGTATTCTATGTTCATTTTTCATTAAAGTTTATAAACCCCACAGATAATCAGCATGCCATCTTGTTCTGATGCAAACTATGAGTTTGAAATAAAGATTGTTTCAGATGTCTGATTTGTGATCTGTTTATGAAATACCAGCATGTGGCCCACACAAAGCACACAAAGGAGCAGCACCCTTGAGATGAAGAGTGGCCCTCCATTCCCTTGTCAGAATTATTATACTATTGAACTTTTAATAACTGTGCCACAGATTGTGAAACATTTATTCAAATCATGACCTCAAAAATTCACTTAGGCATGTCAGCGCATTATTTTCAACTTATTTTACAAGAATATAAAACAAAGGCTGGAGAGATGGCTCAGTGGTCATAGAACACCTTATGCCAGAGCTGAAACATTCTCCATCATTTCCAGCACTCGCTGGGAGATGATTGTCTCTGGGGATGTTTCCTCCCCTACACATCTGGGCTCATCATACTGACCTGGCAACTTTGTCACTTCGAGGGCAGGAAACACAAAGTCTCTCACACTGTGCACGAGTTGGACTTCATCACAGGAAGGTGGTATGCTGGGGAGCTGTGATGAAGAACACTAAGGACATCTTCTACATTTGCTACTGGAAGATTGAGATGACAGAAAATCAGAGAAGCTCACTCTGGAGAAACTTAGCAGTCAGAGAAAAGATCTGCAGATGAAGGAGCTGAAGAAACCTGGACATGGCCAGGAATGCCAGCTGGTTCCTCTCACTCCTCCCCTGCGGCTTCACGGCGTGTCACTGCACCCAGCTAAGGCTGCACAACCTTCCTCACAGCTCAATGCCATGTATCTAGTTGCTAGCCAAAGTGTGTAAATTGACTCTTGTGTGGCATTTCTCAAACAAGACTAAGAATTGCCTTTTCGGGTGCCTTGGTGGTATGCACCTTTAATCCCAGCATTTGAGAGGCAGAAACAGGCCAATCTCTGTGAGATGGAGGCCAGCATGGTCTACAGAGTGAGTTCCAAGCCAGCTGGGACTACTGAGAGACCTTGTCTTAAAAATAAATAAATAAATAAATAAATAAAAGAATTGTCTTTTTCTTCCTTTCGTGTTGCCTTTAATGCAGACTCGGTGGCTAGATCTTGGAACACCACACAGACCATGAGGCCCTCTAATAGACAGAGTAACAAAGTAGATACTGCCTCGATCCGTGATGACGTGGAGTCATCGTAGAAGCCCTGGACCACCAAGCCTGGGTTGCTTTTATATGGGGAAATAGTAAATTTTAGTTTTATTAAGTACCTGCTATTGTAGAATTTTCTGTTGCATTAAATCAACTCTCATTCTGATGAATACATCACATGGAAGGCCTGGGGCCAATCCCACCTCCTACAGGGAAGAGCTCCAACTCACCAGCCCCACCCTTGCACATAAGAGCTTCCAGGCAGTTTTCTTTCCCCTCTGTCCCAAACAGATTGCACAACACATTGTCACCAAACATTGGAAGAAAGATCACAAAAAAACAGGAACCAACCAAGGAAGTTTGAAGAAGCAGAGATGATCCTGGGAGTGAAAGAAAATGTCAGAATAAAGAATTTCAACTTTATCATCCTCAAAAACACAGTATATTGCAGCAACAATAAAAAAATTTTAAATGAAAAAGTAAATATAGTTACTCAGAGAACTATAAAGTACTCTTCAAAATTAAAGTTATAAGGCTAAGGAGACGCTCGGTGTGTAGAACACTTGCTGTGAAAGTATGAGAACTGAGCTCGGATTGCTAAAGCCTATGTAAAAGCCAGACCCCATCGGCACACCATTCTGTAATCCCAGAGCTCCTATAGCGAGAGGGGAGATGGAAACAGGAACTCCAGGGGGACTCTCACAGGCCAGCTAGCCTGACGTACATGCAATCAGCAAAAGACCCTACCTCACAGGGGTGGAAGGCAAGGACTGACACCTGAGGCTGTTCTCCTCTACCTACACATGTGCACTATGGTACAAGTGCACACACAGATCATACATGCACACATTATATATACATCGTATATACACATCATACACACATATTGTGGTGATTTCAGTGAATGTCCCCTCATAGGCCCCAAGTATTTAGACACTTGGTCCTCAGTTTGTGGCTCTCTTTGGGGAGGGTCGTGGAACCTTTAGGAGGTGTGGCCATGCTGGAGGAAGCCTGTCATTGGGTCGAGCTTGGAGAGCTCTTAAGCCTTGCTGGGTTTCCTGTCTGTTTCCTGTGCCTGCTTGAGGATGTGAGCTCTCAGCTTTCTCATCTGACCCTCTCTGCTGCCATACCCCCGCTCCCTTGCCATGATGCATTTTTGCCCTTCTGGACTCTTCTTTTAATAAGTTCTCTGGGTCATGATGTTTTATTACAGCAACAGAAAAGTAACTAATACACACATTGCCGGTGCCAGCCGGACTTAGACGAACAGCACCTGAAAGGGGGAGTGAGGATGAAAGAAAAAAAAGAGACAGAGAAAGGACACTTGGGAGGACTGTCAGTAGGGACTGCAGCCCCGGGTTATTTCAGCTCAGCCTTCTTACACAGCAGAACCTCAGATAATCACAGTTCACTTAGCTCAATGAGCTTCAACAGCTCTTCTTTCCCACCTTTATCTGAGGGTCAAGGAACGGTCAAATACTTGTAGTGAATTCCACCAATTAACCATCTTCCCTAAATTATCAGCACATTCCTCCTGACTTGACAGAAAATTCAGTGCTTGTGTGTAAAACACAAACCCTTGAGTCAAGGTGAAAGGTCATAAAGTAAATAAGCAAGTCTGCCACAGCTCAATGTACATAATGGCTGTGCTTATATTAATAGCTCCCAACAACACATCACACACATACATCATCCACACACATCATACATATATACCATATGCACAAACCATACACACATATACATATCATATACACACATCGACATATACCATAAACAACATACATAATAAACACACATCATACATATACCATACACACATCATACACACACATCATATACACACACCATGCACACACATCACACACACACATCACACACACACATCACACACACACATCACACACACACACACACACACACAGATATGATGGTTGGAATAAATAATAGGTGAACCAGAAAGTGAGGTTGGTCGGTGTGGTGGTTTGGTCGGTGTGGTGGTTTGAGTAGCTGTCCTGCATAGACTCGACAATTTGGCCTTGGTGGGTGGCACTGTTTGCAGAGGTCTAGGTGGTATCACATTGCTGGAGGAAGCATGTCACTGGGGTGGGCTTTGGGAGGTCACAAGCCTCATTCCCACTTCCAGTTCCTCTCTCTGCTTCCTGTGCCTGCTTGAAGATGTGAGAGCTCAACTCTCTGCTCTGGAGGCCTCCTGGCATGCTTCCTCAGCTACGATGGACTCTGGAACCATAAGCCAACCAAGCTCTTCTTTCCATAAGTTGCCTTGGTCATGGTGCTTTATCACAGCAACAGAAAAGTAACTAGTACAGTAGGAAACATTTTAAAAGACATGTTAGAAACAAAAACTCAATCCAGGAAATTCAATAAATGCATATCCCAGAAACAGAAAATGAAATGATCAGAAGAAATTGTAAAAGAATATTGGATGCCAGGTTTGGTGGCGCACGCCTTTAATCCCAGCACTCAGGAGGCAGAGGCAAGCGGATCTCTGAGTTCAAGGCCAGCCTGGTCTACACAGCAAGTTCCAAGACAGCTGGGGCTAAAGGAAGACCATGTTTCAAAAAGACCAGGAAAAAAAGAAGAAAAAATAATATTGGAAATTTACTTCCAATCCCAGTCACCAAAACAAATATGCCCGCTTCCTACCCATGACAAGAACAGCCACACTGAAGCATTGCTAACGGTTATGAAACTTTGTAATAACCAGGTAAAGAGAAATTTTCCTTTTTTTTTTAATTATCAAGAACCAGGATGGTGGCATCTCAGCAGCAGCTTGATGGAAAACATGGGGTCAGTGCTGTCAGCACTGTGGGAACTTTAATCTCAGCTGAAATTCAGCATTCAGCCACACTCTCAGTCGAGTGTGAGGAATGAATAAAAGGCATTCATGGGCATGAGAAGGTTCGGGTTTTTTTTTTTTTTTTGCATTCTTCCTTAGAAACTTATGAAAGGTATACCCCCATTGAGACAAGGGAGCCAGTTTAGAAACAGATAGAAAAGTTAAATCCAGGAACAGGGACCTAACAGAGTCACAGGAATTCTCTAGTGGATGACAGATAACAGCTTCATGACAGAAGACTGGAGAAGACCAGGCAAGCATCTCAAAGGAGTGACTTCAAAGGGCAAGCTGTACTTCTAGACTTCTCGTCAAGCTTATATACATATTTTAAGAAAGGATTCAGAGTTCTACTGGATAATTTGGGGAATTCACAAATTAAACCAATTCCACTGTCAACTTCAAAGACAAAAGTTATACAGGAAAGAATCATAGTTTACTGTCTCTCTCATAAATATCTTCATAGTCATAATTACAAAATGTTAATTTAAAAAACGTTGCCATAACCAAACTTGGAACACAGAGGAGGAAGTGAGTGACCTGACCTTGAAACTGCCTGTCCCAGTGCAAGCTGTGTTATCACATGAAGCCTCTGGGCCACAGACCCCAGCAGCAGTCTCCCTGTCTTTTAACCCTTCTAGTGTTGTGATGGCTTAGCATGTGGTTCTCTAATTGACTGAACTGAGAAGCACCTAGGAGATCAATAATACACATGTCAAAGTGTGTTTATAAAACTAGAAAGAGGAAGAGGAAGGCCTCTTGCACAACATTCTCCTCCCTCCTGCCTCTGTTTCTCTGTGTGCGTGTCTCTATGTGTTCTCTCTCCCTCCCTCCCTCTCTCCTACCTGCCACAAGGTGAGCATTGCTTTCCGCACCCTTTCACCATGATAGGCCCCCTCATCACGCCCAAGAAACAGCAGAGCTAGCCAATTATAGACTAAAGCCCCTGAAACCATAAGTCAAAGTCAATGTTTCCTCTCTTAAGTTATACTCTCAAGTATTCTGTCACAATGACAAAAAGTCTAACACAAGGATGTGCACCCTTTTGACACTAGGCTGGATGTTGCTGTCTACAAATGCGCTGGAGCCCATTCATACCTACCCTGGGAAGCACGCAGCCCAAGGCTGCAGGGCGGACACCCCTGGACAGACACATCAGTCTTTATAATCTGCACTGTGCATTTGTGCCTATATTAGCCTCTGCATGAGTCTGAACTCATCAGTATGATTGCATTCAGAGTGGAGTAGCTGGTGTTTGATAAGCATTTGTGGTTTACTTTAGTAAACATATTCCTGATTCAATTGTCTTTTCATAGTATCACACTACCAAGATATTTTATGGTTTCCTTCCAAAGAAAATTCTTTCACAATTCACAACAATTTACATGCTGAAAACACTACCAACTTTGCAAAGAGAAAACTTGGAGTCTTGCTACATAATATATTCAGTTCAAAAGTTTACAATGTGGTTGATCCTGATTGCAAAATTAAGTCCATCTAAGAGGGAAAAAAAAAGTTATGACACACTTCATGGCAAGTGTCCTTTGCTGTTATTAATTAAATTATGACACAAGCCAATTCATGCCACGTCTTACTCTTTACTTTCTAAATCCCATGCAAACAGGAACAAGCTTTAACTGAAGAGAAAGAGGATGAAGTGCTTTCTGCCTCTATTTTTTCTTTTTCTAACACTTTCTTCCGCATTTCCCGCAGACCGAAAAGGGGGAAATGATGCAAACCAGCAGCTGGCCCAGGTACTGTCTCTACGATGCTATTAGCAGCTAGCAAGAAGAACGGTCCTTTTAGGGCTTCTCTTGGGATCTGCTCAGAACAATGCAGTACTTTTCATTTTTCCTAAGGACACAAACTGGATAAGGGGTGAGAGTCAAGGGTGGAGCCCGAGAACAGGACTTGCTATAGCTCTAAGCAATGGTCACCGAGGCCAGCAATAGCAAGATAAGAAAAGAGGCAGCTTACTAGAATGGAGAGCTCCAGGAACACATTTCAAGGCCTCCAGAAACACTCAACCTACAATTTGGAACACCTTGTGCATACGTAAATGTGTATATATGTATATGTCTATATGTATATATACATATGTGTATAGATATGTATATGTGTATGTAGATATTAAAAGTACAAGGCTTTACCCCCCATTAAACTTGTACTATCCCATAATGCCCCTTTACCCAATTTGAAACTTGAAAGGGGATCATGAGAGGGAGGAGGAAGTCTTGAGGGAATTGGGAAGTAGAGAACTTAAGGAATACTTTGAAACATGCAAGTAGATGTTAGGACTAACTAGGGAGGTGAGGGAACTAGCCGGCCGGGGGGGAGAAACAGTGGAGGAAGACAGTTTGTGGAGGAGAATGAACAGGAACAAACTACAGTCACATATATGTATACATATCATGACTAATCCCATTGCTTTGTATTCTAACCTAGAAACTTAATAAAGGAAAAGGTTTTTTAAGTAAGAACAGAATATGACTTTAGTAACCCCTTTGAAAGTCCAGGTAATTTGTCATATTTGGTTAAATCACATAAATTTGCAAAATAGATAATTACCTATTATCTCTTCTAAAATTTGTTTCAAAAAACAATCCAAATGAAAGAATCAGCAAAAATCTGTGAGCTGTGTCATCACTGAACAAGCAGATGAAGTTTTGTGCCCTTTGGGGGAGGTTGGTGTTTTATGGGCTGTATGGTTTGGCTGCTCTGGTCACCTATAAATAACTGAGTCTTGGCATCGAAGGACAGGGTGTGTTTCTTCGCTCCTCTGCGTTCTCCCTTTCTTTCCCTTGCTGTTTATTTCCTTGCTGTTTATTTCCTTCTTATCTCCCTACCGCCAAAGATTTCAGGCTACTGCTTCATTTTGAGGTAAGTACTGGCTCTCTGGTAGTCTGTGCTTACTCTTGTCTTTTTGGTCAGGTGTATCTCAACAAGTTCTACTCTCTTGAGATAGAAGGGAGTCATCTTGTCCAAAGCAAAAATGGGAGTCTCTTAGATGGCAAAATTCGGGAAATGCAGGCATTTTTTGGATTGACAGTGACTGGAAAACTGGATTCAAACACTATTGAGATCATGAAGATGCCCAGGTGCGGCGTGCCCGACGTGGGGCAGTATGGTTACACTCTCCCTGGGTGGAGGAAACACAGCCTTACATACAGGTAATGCTTCTGCCAACTTATGTCATCTCGCCTCTTTAAACACTGATCTCCAAGAAGCAATCAGAGCGACTCCTCTGACTGAGTTCTCCCATATCCCTGCCGCATTTTGTGCATTCCATCAATCCTCACGACAGACCTGTGATTCAGGCAGCATTACACCTGCAACTTTGGACAGAAAGCAGCTGAATTGGTGGGTTATTTCCTGTGGGCAGAGTTGCACAGGGGATTGGCCCCAGCAGATAGACTCCAGTCTCTAGGCTCTGCCTGCCCTGAGCGCAGGACCAGAAGCAATGCTACCTGCCTGTAAGGGCTCTGTAGATGTGATGGAGTCTATGCAAAGACAATTGGAAGAATGAGAGAGAGAGAAAGAGAAAGAGAGAGAGAAAGAGAGAGAGAGAACAAGAGAGGAGCAGAGGGGGCATACATGTGTTAGAGCTGATGAATCTCAACTCTTGGGTGGGTCCCTTGTGAATAAGAGTTTGCCTCAGATATCTGAAGGATAATGGGATTGGCTCGCTGCCCCCAAAGAAGATGGCCTGTCACCCCATTCTGAAAACAGAGTCATTGATCTTGATAACTACTCTACAGCCTTTTTGATAGCTCTTCCTCTTACTGAATCAAACATAAACATGAGATTATCGCTGCCCCACTCAGGGTACGATCTTAGGGAAGTCATTAAACCTCTCTGAAATGCCTGTTTTTAAATGTTACATTCATAGTACCTAATTCTCAGGGAATAAAAGAACTGACCTAGTGTCCTCGTGGGCTTTGACTGTCAACTTGGCACAGTTGAAGGATTTCCCAAGATCAAATTGGTCTACAGGCAAGCAAGTCTGTGAGGGATTGTCTTGATTACTATTTGATGCAAGAGGGTACAGCCCACTGTGGGGGGCACCATTCTCTGGGTATGTGGTTTTGGGTGGTATAAGAAAACTAGCTGAGCATGAACCCACGATGGAGCCAGCACGCAGTGTTCCTTCATGGATTTTGCTTCAGGTTCCTCCATGGTTCCTGCTCCGGCTTTCCTCAGTCATGAACTGTAATGTGGAAGCATAAGCCAAATAAACCCTTTTCTCCACAAGTTGCTTTTGGCCAAAGTGTTTTATCACAGCAACAGAAAGCAAACTAGAACAGTTAGCGTATGTAAAATTACTTCATCTAAATAAAGCAATATGCAAATGTAAGAAAATAGGACAATGCCAAAAGTTACTTCAGTCATTGACTAGTAGGCTACAGATGATTTTGTAGCATGCATGTACATATAGACAGTATAACTATAATTGCTGTATTTTTGTTAATTTTCAGAATAATGAACTACACTCCGGATATGGCACGAGCTGATGTGGATGATGCCATTCAGAAAGCTCTAGAAGTGTGGAGCAAGGTGACTCCACTGACGTTCAGCAAGATTTCCAGGGGGATTGCAGACATCATGATTGCCTTCAGGACTCGAGGTAAGGGTTGAAGTGGGAGAGCAGTGTGGCCACCTTCTTCTCAGGTGTGAGGAACCTGACCTCTCTCCTCCTTGATTGTATCTCAGTCCATGGTTGGTGTCCTCGCTACTTCGATGGTCCCTTGGGAGTTCTCGGCCATGCCTTTCCTCCTGGTCTGGGTCTGGGTGGTGACACTCACTTTGATGAAGATGAAAAATGGACAACAAGAGATGGAGAAGGTGAATATAATTTCCTCTAGGAGAAAAATTGTGTTAAAGAATCTCTGCAAAAAAAAAAATCGCTGTTTCCAAGATGACATTAGTAAAGTGTTTAGTATTTATTCAGATAGCTGTGCTTGGGAAGACTTATCCACACCATGCTTTTCAGTGTTGCTAGTCCTTGTGTGGAAACAGCCTTCATCATTTATTCATGTGCTCGTTTATATATCCATAGTGCCTGTAGGTCCATGTGTATGCAAAGCAATGCAAGGTGTGTTGTATGGACCCCAAGGAGATGCTTGAAAAGTTCCAGCCTTTCAGATATTCATGATCCCGTGTGATGTATAAAGCCTTAATCCACATTCTCTCACTATACAAGGCTATGTGTTGTACCAGTGTTTGAAGTCATTTACTTACAGCTTGAGGCTTGAAAGAAGTCCCTGGGGAGGTGGAAATTTTAAAGAATACTTTGTGAGTTCATGGTCCATACAGGATCAATTTAAAAGCATGGTCTTTCTCTAACTCTTCCCCATCTGCAAAGGAATTAGACCCTAGTTCTTTTATTTGACCTATTTCTTCAAACAAACAAGGTGATTTTATTTTTTAATGGGCCTCTCTGCCACTATATATATATATATGTTACTTTTCAAACAAAACCCAAAATTTCTCATAGTAACGTGTACACTAAACAAAGCAGCAGCTTGGCGGGTTCTCTTGTTTCGTCCATCTTTTTGTCACTGTTGCTGGCATAACACTTTGGAGTCTGGGGTCTGGCCTCCAGGGTCCCAGGAAAGTACAGGTTGTGGCTCTCCAGATGGGTAACACACAAAGCTTCAGATCACTCCTGACCCTGTGACTGCACACCGCCCCCTTGGGTCTGTTTTATAGTTTCTGTAAATTGGCCACTCTCTGCTCACCTGAAGCTCTTCTCCCAAGTACGGATGAGACTGGGAGAGAGGTCAGCATCGTTGAGCTTCAGGCAACAGGGAGAGCCTGGGGTGAGCTACAGCCACTGCCACAGGAGTTCACATCACAGATGGACAAGAAGATAAAGGAAGAACACTGTACGCAGGCAACTGAGACGTGGGGTAAACCGTCTACTGGGTGTCTTCTGCTGAGACATACATTTCTTTGGTTTTGGTCTTGATCTTAAGCCAGTATAGATATGCTTAGTCAGTTATAGGAAATAGCCTAAGCACTTGCCAAACTTGGGATTGGCAGCCCCTGCTCCACCAGGCTTTACTTTCATATCCAGAGACAGAGATTGAAGATTTCAGCACCTTATTATCCTTAACCAATATTCAGTGTTAATTAATATTACCCTCATTGCTTCAAGCCTTCTGCCAAAGAAGATGTTATTAAAAAGCCCAGAGTTGTAGCCCATGGGTTGGCAAAACTTGCTTTTACAATGTAGAGGATAAATATAGCCCCTCAACTAAGTTCTGAGTGGGCAGTTCAAAAGGAGTTGTCTTATGATCACTTTATTACATTTCCTCAGCATAGCAGAGGGTGTGGGGAGAAAGAATACACTGAGAAGTGGAGTACAGGGGCTGGGGCTGTAGCTCAGTTGGTAGAGAGCTTGCTTAGGATGCACAAAGCCCTGGGTTCTGTCCCCAAGCACTGTAGAAAGTGAGTGTGGCAGTGTACACCTGTAATCCTAGCACCTGGGAGACAGAGGCAGGAGCTTTCAGGAGTTCAAGGTCATCCTCAGCTACATAATGAATGCAAGGCCAGTCTAGGATATATGAGACGCTGTCTCAAAAGAAAAATGGAAAGGAATGAAAGTCTAGACACAGACATTAGAAAGAGCCCAGCAGAGATGAGGGAAAACATGATCCAAAGTGACTAGCTCAGAGAACATGGAAAGAAAACATGAGGTTGGAAAGAAGGCAGGAATTGGAGCACAGAGGGCTGTGTGATGGGTCTGAGGCTAGGACTAGATTGTGGAGGTCTGGGTAAGGAGCTGGGACTTCATCATATGGCTGACAGAGGATCTCACAACAGTATAATGATGAGCAATACCATCATACAAAGTCAAGCAGCAACCAAAAACAGGTGGCTTCACTTTCTGAAAAATAATGCCATCCCTTTCTATGTTGTTTTGTTTTGTTTTTGAGGCAGGGTCTCACTGCCTGGTCTCCCTGGCTGGCCTAGAACTCCACATGTAGACCAGGCTGACCTCTAACTCACGGAGATCTGCCTGCTTTTGCCTTGCAAGTGCTAGGATTAAAGGTGTGCACCACTATACTACATTAAACAATAAACAATTTCTGAGTCACTGGTCTCCAGCTATCTGCCTAGTGAGTTAAATTTCTCCATGATGTACTAAAATAGTGCCCAGAGAAGTACAGTACAAAAATCAGCTGCTACATAGCAAGACTTTCCTTCCTTCCATGTAGCTACTTTCTAGCCTCAGAAGCAACCCTCCCATCTACCTCTCTGTCTCGTATGTTCCAAGCTTTCTCTCTCTCTCTCTCTCTCTCTCTCTCTCTCTCTCTCTCTCTCTCTCTCTCAGAACCCAGGGCCTTGTACATGCTCTACCACAGAGCTACATTCCCAGAAACCACTCTTTGTTTGATCAACTCACATACTCCTGTTTTCTGTTTTTCTTAAGGATTCAACTTGTTTCTCGTGGCTGCTCATGAATTTGGTCATTCTCTGGGGCTTTCTCACTCAAGTGATCAGACAGCCTTGATGTTCCCAAATTATGCCTCCCTGGATCCTAACAAATATCCACTGTCTCCGGATGATATCAGTGGAATCCAGTCCATCTATGGTGAGCACCATTATAGAGCTGAATGTATGGAAACTCAAAAGGAAGCTACTCAGAAAGGAAATTGAGAATATCACTTCTTGAAATATCATGAAGCAAGCTTCCACTTAAGTAAGATCCTCGTGTGGACATATTTCCTAGCACCTTCTTAATTCACTGTGGTATTTATTTTCTCATTGAAGGAAGTCTACCAAAGGTACCCCACAAGCCAAAGAGAACCCCTGTACCTCACGCCTGTGACCCTGACTTGACTTTGGATGCTATCACCACTTTCCGAGGAGAAATAATGTTCTTTAAAGGCAGGTAAACCCACTCCCTTGGCAAACTCAAACTCCTTATGAAGATTTTCCTCTTCAAGGCAATTGGGGCTCAACAAGGGATCCTGGCAACTGTGAGGGTCCAGCTGTTTACATCACATTTTATAACTTCATGTGCTACTGTAATGTTTTACCATGTGTGCATACCTTATACTTTTTTGGTAAATTAATCTTAAATGTTTAAAAGCAATTTTTTATTTTCTATAAAAAAGTAAAGTCAAGTCTACAATGGTTTCTTGGCCAAAATTAACACACTAATCCTAAGGGGATCTTCAACTCATCTTATAGCTGAACTTAAGCCTACTGTTAAACTTTTGGGAATTTTGTAAATCAGTTCACATCTGCCAAACTTTCCAGGGTGGATTCACACCCTGGAAATCAGCAAATACTGAATATCAAGTCTCTCTCTGCCTGAAGAGCTTAAGCATGTATCAGCACAATGTGAAAACCCTACATACTTTTTTGTTTTACAGGGTCTCACTATGTAACCATGACTGGCCTGGAACTCTGCTATGTAGACCAGGCTGGCCTCAAATCACAGAGACCCACCTGCCTCTGCCTCCCAAGTACTGGGATGAAAGGCCACCACGCCAGCCCACTGACCACTTCCTACTGAGGCACTAGCTGAGTGATGGTTGCAGCAGCAAGACTCTTCTTTCACTGTATATAACTTACTGGGCTTAGCTCGGCATTGATAGTCACTTACATATACCATGGCTGTATTTTCAGAGCACAGCATCAGGACATACACCATTTGGCAAGGATATGGGGCAAAAATAAAACTTTTGAAATAGGACTCCTTTGACCCAGCACTGTCCAACACTGAAACTATATGGCTCCCTTCTGTACTCTGACCAGCAGAGACTGACAGACCACCTGTGACAGGTTCAGAGGAGAACCACTGGTTAGAGGAGAGGCGTGGAAGGTAGGGACTTCCCCAGTGTCATCTGCACATTCAGAATTTTAGATCCAGAAAGGAAATTCTGAGGAAATGCCAATGATATTTCTTCATTCCCGTAAACATCAGCCTCTAAAGTCCTTCTCTAGAGGGCTGGTGAAACTATACAGTGGGTAAAGGTGCTTGCCACCAAGCCTGATGACCTGAGTTCAATCCCTGGGGCCCACATGGTAGAAAAGAGAGCCAACTCCCCTCTACTTGTTTTCTGATCTCTACACACATTCAGTGGCACATGTATACACACACATACAATAAATTAAAATTTTAAGCTCCTCTTAGAATGTTTAATGTTGGCTTACACTGTTAGGATTTTCTGCAAAAGAGGCTCCCAAGCACTCAGAACTGTTGCATAAGATCTCTGTGGGTGGCTTGTCACTCTAAGACAGAAAGGGTGGACACGCAGGCATGTCCTGAGCAAGTCCAAAAGCGAGAAGCAAACTCACAATGATCTAAATTTTCTGGGGGAAATTGTGCTAATTCTCTACATGATTTAGGGAAGATACCAGTCAGTTCAAAGAAAGACAAGCCACAAGCCTAAGGGGATCAGGGGACAAAATGCTTGTCACATAAGTGTAAGGACCAGATTTCAGATCCCAGCACCCACACAAAAGCTGAGTAAGTGTGGCAGTCTGTGTGTAACCCCAGCACACAGGAGGCAGAGGCAGGACATCCCTGCAGCAAACTGATATCTAGACTAACCAGAATCAGGAGCTGTGCGTTCAGCAAGAGACCCAGCCTCAGAAAAGTAGAGAGCAACTGGGGAGATACCCAGTGACAACCTCTGGCCTCACATGCATGAGCACACGTGAGATGTGTGCATGCACACATGCATACACACATATGCCCATGTACATGCAAACATACACACATGCATACCACAAGTACATATATGTGTCCCCTCCAAAAAAATACAAGCCTAAGATTGCAACATGTTGATCGATACAGACACATGGGCGACATTTGTAAAGCATTTGTTGTTTTAACACAGCCACTTCTGGAGGGTTTACTGTGAGCTCGCTGATGTGGAATTTGAGCTAATTCCTTCATTCTGGCCATCTCTGCCAACTGATCTACAAGCTGCTTATGAAAGTCCCAGAGACAAGGTCCTGGTTTTTAAAGGTAAGCATGCCTGTCACAGCTCCTCTTCTTCCTCTTGCCTAAATAGGACAGTGAGCATTTTAGTGCAGAGAATATAATCCTCATTCATGAGCTGAAGGACAGGACTTCTGCTCTGAAGTTAGGTTCTGGTTATAAATGATGATGAGTCAGGAGACTCTCTGTACCGTGAAGACCACCACTATCCCAACTGCACTGGGACTAAAAAAATCTATATGATAAAAAACTATGAGTCCATTTTGTTCTTTTATGCTCCCTTTTTACAGTATTGCTATATTTAGCAAATAAAAATAAGGGTTGCTATAAATTTCAATAAACAACAAGAATTTTTAGCATACATATGATTCTTGTGGTATTTTAGATATGCTTATTCCAAAAGTTAGTCATTATTTGACATTTAAATTTAACTGGTATCACATTTGATCTAAACAACTTTACTTTTTACATAAATGTCATTAGACTACCAGCCTTTGAGAACACTTGGGGCTGAAATCTGGAGAATGTGTTCAAAGATTCTTGACAAGAATCTGGAGAATGTGTTCAAAGATTTAAGTTACTCAGAAGGAACAGTAAGGTGAAACCGATGGTAAGATTCTACATTCGACACACAGGAGGGTGCAGCCACCTGGGTATCTAGTCACAGTACACAGGATTTGTATATAGTACCAATGATATGGGCAGCCAAAGAACAGAGGCTGAAACTGGGCTTCCAGCCATTCTCAAACTCCTTGAGTCATCTATTCTCCCTGGAAGGTGCAGATCAGAAGACAATCCCTTTTTCTCTTCCTAGAGGAAAATTTCTGGGCAATCAGAGGGTACGCTGTCTTGCCGGATTATCCCAAATCCATTCATACACTTGGCTTTCCAAGATACGTGAAGAAAATTGATGCAGCTGTCTATGACCATGACACACAAAAAACCTACTTCTTTTCAGGCATTTGGTACTGGAGGTGAGCACATAGACCACTAAGGCCATCGTCTTCTCAGGGAGGACATTATCCACCACAGCACCACTTTGACACAGATAACCATAAAGCAAATCTGTAGTCTTTGAGTGAATTGTGTTGAAGGCAATCTCAGATATATGACATTTACCAGAGTAAGATGTTTTAATGAGTCCAGTTATCTTTCCCCAATTTAAATAAAATAAGATAAAAAATAAATCTATTAATGCCAATTAAATGCAATGGCAGAAGCAAAGCCAGTCAAAATCTAGGAAAGCTCAGGGCTGTGCCCACAGCTTATTCTAACAATTCCTCAGGGTAGTGCCACTCTGGAAAATGGTGTGGCCTTTTCTTCGTTTTGTTATTGGTGCTGCTGTTGTTGTTGTGTGGCATTGGAAAACAAATCCAGGGCCTTGTGCATGCTGAGTAAGTCTCCTACTACATAGCCACATGCTTAGCTCCCTGATTGTTGTTTTTTAAGATTCTTTAAATAGAGGCTAAGGAGATGATGCCATCTCCTCTGGCCGACAAAATGACTGGGGAGACAGCAAAGGGTTTTCTTTACAAGTGTGAAGACCTGAATTCAATCCCCAGAACCCACAAGAGCTGGGTAGGAGGCATCCCCCAACACACACATATATAAACACACACAAGGGATATGATCCAACCAAGCATAATGTTTTAGTCATTGATTCTATTAGTTTCCTTTTGCCTGGCCTGCTTAGCCCACATAACCCTGCTTGACTTTAAGCAGGGAAACAGAGGATTAAATTCTCCCAACAGAAATCAAGAAGTCAAGTAGAAGCCTTTGAAATCTCTGCTTGTAGGTATGATGAGATGGCCCAGGCCATGGACAGAGGGTACCCACAGAGGATAGTGAAGTACTTTCCAGGAATTGGTCTCCGCGTGGATGCAGTCTTCCAGCATAAAGGTCAGTGTCAGTAGTACTGCTGTCAAGGTGCTTGGGAGCCTGCACTGACTGCAAAACAAGACGGCATGTAGATGTCAGCATTTTGAGCTTAGTGTCATTTTACGACTCTCAAGTGCATACACAGATTAATAAACATTGACTCTGCAGACATTATCACAAACTGAATCGGGAGGTGTCGAACTAGACTCTGTGATTTCAAATCTATGTGAAAAGCACCAAATTTAGTTTTAGTCAATTGTGGATCTAGGATGCTCCCTAAAAGACACCCCTAAAGTGTGAAAGATGACTAAGCACATGAAGTCAATGATTCTTGAACTTTAATATACTTGTATCTGTGTGCATATATACATTATATACATATATATATATAGTTTAACATACATAGCTTGGGGTTCGTGTATGAGAAAATTATGTATTTCAAGTATCTGAGGGTTATGGGAGAGACCCAGAAATCTGAGATTTTAGAAGAACATTTAATAACTAATTTTTTTTCATTGGTTGGTTGGGGTTTTGTCATTACTGCTGCCTTGTTTAATTTTGGTGTTTTGTGGTTCCAGGGATTGAACAGAGGGCCCCCACATGCTAAGTGAATGCTCTACCACTGAGCTGCACCCCAGTCCAGAACCTTTGGCAATTTAATGCACAAAGTCCACCAACTATATTTTCAAAGACAATGACATAGACCATGAAATAATACTTTTAAAAAAATTAGGGCTGGTAAGTAGCTCAGTGTAAAGGTGCTGGCCACATACACCTGAAGTTTGATTCTGAGATCCCACATAAAGGTTGATGGAAAGAACTGAGCACACAGAGTTGTCCTCTGACCTCCACATGCTCATCATGGCCCACGCAAACACATTACACACACACATACACTAAATAATAATAATAATAATAATAATAATAATAATAATAATTTTGGGGAAGCCTTTTTGAGCCAAGGTCTCCCTGTAGCCCCAGTTGTCCTGGAACTCGCTTTGTAGACCAGTTTAGACCCATTTATCTTGAGTGGCACCATTCATTATCACCATGACACCTAGAGCAGAACCTCAAAACTTGAACTAGGTAAACATGCATCAGCTTTATGGAAATGAGAATGTAGCTGAGGGAACTATGTTAGGGCCCAAGGCCAAACCCAGAGTCCCTTCACCCTCTGCCCCTCCAGGTGCCGTGTTGGAACCTACTTTGAGAACCTGTATCTGGCTACTAAGGTCACAAACCCTCTGAAACTTGTGCTTGGCTTCTTCTTCAATGAAACAAAAACAATACGATTTCCCATAGAGTAACACAAAAGCAAAATGTATCTATATAATTCCACAAGTATCTTTTTTTCTCTATGATGTTACTAGATTCTACATTCATATAATCCAGGGAACCACTATGCACTTACATCAGGTAACTAATCATGCCCTTCTGTTTCTAGGATTCTTCTATTTCTTCCGAGGATCAAAACAATTTGAATATGATATTACGGCAAAGAATGTTACCCGAGTGATGAGAATCAATACTTGGTTCCAATGTAAAGAACCACTACGCTCAACATTAGACTTCAGAACCAAGGAGAAAGCACATTCCAGAGGAGTAGGGATGTTACATCATCAGCCTGCAAGCTTGTTTCTTTTCATTATCATTCACGTGCTGACAAAAGTATAGAGTTACCAATTAATTCATACACCTAAATAAACCCCAAGAAATATTTTAACCTGAACTCTGCCTCAAAGGAGAATAAAACCACTCTCGAACACTGAGTTGTTGATACTACTTATGTGTCTACTGAGTAAGTCAACAAGTTTAAGCTACTTGACTCTTCCAACAGGTTGCTTATTAAGTATAAACAAAATATCTAACTGAACTTTAAGCCTATTTCATGCTTTGTGAACTTGGGAAACTAAGACATGTCTTAAAACAAAATGCTAAAAACAATTATTAAAACACTCTTCAGCATTCCATCTCATCTAGTCCTTTGGAGTCCAACTGATAAGCCTAATAAAACTGTATCCTTCATCCCTACACATTCTCTGAACTCACACATAAAATAAGCTAGTTGACTTCCCAAGAAGGGAAGTGAGAGCCTGGGTAAGATGTGTATGTGTTACATGCCAGGCAAGTCCCCAACAATTAAGGAGCTAGTCAGAGTAAGAAAGAAATGTTTCCCCGAGTCTTCCAAACATTAGCCAATGTATTGAACCATTCTTTACAGAGCACAAAAGTGTGAGTTTTGTGCACACTGATCTTATATATAGGAAACGTACATCTCCTCCCTGTGTTTGAGATACACTGGGATCACCTGAGCCTGCAGACAAAAAGTTCCTTTCCTCTTTGTTCCACCAAATATTTGTTGAGTTTGTAAACTCTTACAATTAGGCTTTATTGTTATACCCTAACATACTTATCAAAGCCCTTAATAAATTTTCTTATACCTAAGTTGGAAGATTGTCAGCTAGACTTGATTCCGGTGGGGTAATGTATTGAGGATGTGCCAATGGAGAAAAAAATAAGTATAGAAAATGTTATGAACAGAAACCATAATGGGCATTTGCTTTGTCCTTGTGATTTCCTCAAGGGTCTGTGGCCAGGTGTGGAAAGAAACAGCTTTCAAAACAAGCCTAAACAAGACTATATTGACAATGGTTATTTACTCTGGAGACTTGAGCAGGTGAAGGAGAACAGAAACAAATTCATAAATATATGTATTTGAATTTCTTCTTGCATGAGAACAAAGAGAAAAACATCACCTTATCATCTATTTTATCATAAGAACAATCTTAAGAAACTTGCATGGGGACAGGGTTGGAGTGCAGGCTGGAGAGGTGGTCCAGAGGAAAGAAGGTTTACTGTGCATGCACAAGGATCCTGAGTTTGATCCCTGGCACCCATGTAAAAGATGGGCATGACCATGTGCATGCATCATGGGGCTTGGTGACTGGAGGACCTCTGCAGCTTGCTGGCTACCAGCCCACCTCTAGGTTCAATAAGAGACCCTGTCTCAAGAGAATTAGAGGGAGCGTAATAGAGGATACATTATGACCTCTTCTGGCCTTCATTCATGCATGGGCACATATAACTGCACACACACGTGAGTGTACAACACACACACACACACACACACACACACATATGGAGAAAAAAGACACTCTCCTGAAGCCTGTAATCTCTGCCTTGGGAGATGAGGGAGGAAGATCGTCCATTAATGTGAAGCAATCTGGGAAGGGGAGGTAAGAGGAAAGGAAGGGGAGGGGAGGGGGGAGGTGTGTGGATGGGGGAAGTAGCAGGGAGGGGAGGGAAGAGTAGAGAGAAGGGGAGAAGATGACTGTACAGGAGAAAAATCAAACCCAACTCAATGAATGATTTGTTCCAGAGAACAGAATTGTGGTTCTGGACTGGAAGTTATTTGAAAAACACAGTATATCTTAATGTTGGAATCCAGCCCTTGTACATCTTCAGATAGAATATTTACAAATAATTAATCGATAAAAACTTTTTTTATTTATTTTTTTGTGCATATAATTGTATTGCCTGCATGTGTGTAAGTGCACCTGTGTCATGTACTCAGCAGTCAGAAAAGATTATTGGATTCCCCTGGAACTGGAGTTACAGTTATGGATGGTTGTTAGCTGCCATTTGGGTGCTGGGAATCGAACCCAGGTCCTCCACAAGAGCAGTCAGTGGTCTTAACCGCTGAGTCATCTCTCCAAGCCCACTAAAAACTTTCTTTACCATACTTGATGACAAATCTTAAATTTCAGTTCTGTATTCACTTATTATCTAGTATCTATCCAACATTATAGAGAATTAGAGGTCGGTTGTTACTGATATAAATCACTATGAGTTAAATCTGCAGAAGAGAGCGAGAAAACAAACAAAACATTCAACAATGAAATTTAGGTTTTCTTGAAGTGGCAAGTTTTCAGAGCAGGGAAATGTTCTGTTTGATCAGCACTCAAGAGTCTCACAGAGGGCTAGGCATGGTGGTACACACCTTTAATCCCAGAATTCAGAAAGGAAGAGATTGAGGCCAACCTGATTTATAGACCAAGTTCCAAGCCACCTGGGGCTACCAGGAGACCCTGTCTCAAAACAAGCAAACCGAAAAGAATGCCTCATAGGACTTATTATGTAACCAACCGGAAATCCAGCTCTCCTTTACCCTTGAGATTTACTGAATTACTTTTGACTCGTCTCCTGCCTTGTATGTTACATTTTATTAGTCAATGTAGGGAAGGCATTTATTTTCAAGGTTGCCTCATTTTTATTTTTCAGTTGACAAATTGAACTTGGGAGTTTCTTATTTCTTGAACTACTTTTAAAAACTCTGAGACAAAAAGAATCAGGTCAAGTCATATCAGCTGGATAGGATAGATGATGGGATTCCCTTGGTAGAAATCCCCTCAGGAAAAACATAGGGGAGTCAATGGAATCATGTGAAAATATAAACAAGTTTCTCCAAATGGATGCGCTCTCAGTAGTGATGCGATTCGGAAACAAGCTGTTGAGCTGTCATGTATTTACACTTCAGTCTTCCCGTGGAGTATGAAGGGTCTAACGCCCTATCGTGGCCTGTGCTCACCATCACTCAGACCAAAATGAGAACCCCACACTTACCTGCTTACCTATGCGAACCTGGCTCTCCTGCTCACCCTCCAAACTTGTGGCTGCACCCAGCAGATTCCATTGCGATGAGCTTCCTTCCTGGTTCTTTTGCAACCGGTTTCACCAGCACTCTGATTTCATGATCACTGTGGTTTCTTTACTCAATTCGTGTAAAGGAAAAGGAACGAGCATGCTACATTCCCCATTAAGCAATCCTACAACATGGCAAAGGAGAGCTGATACAACCCGGATTATGCGGGACCCCAAGGCAGAAGTGTCTGTTCCTGAAGACTTCGCTGCTGACTGCATTCAGCAGAGAGACTTGGAAGAACCCAAATGCCGTGGAGCTCTGTCCTCCAGGCATGACACAGTCACGGCATCTTGAAATCAGAGCAGCTGTGATTACAAGGCTCAGAAGCTCACAAGATCCAGCCGATAATGAGCACTTCCTCTTGAAGAAGGGTATGGTAGCATCATGACACCTTCACCTGAGATTCCAGCCATTCAGTCCCTTCCCTGCCAACCCCCTTCCTAGCTGTATGTAATCTGCCTCAGTTGAGAATGGACAAAGGGAGGTCCTGGAGTACACTGAATGTAGGACATTAACTAGGAGAGGGCTCCATTGATGCACATTTTGGAGGTCTTCTTCGCCTGTACTCCAGAAGAAATTTGCAGTGACATAGCTGTTGTGGGGGAGGGGGTATCCATTGTGCCTGCTGGATAGCGTCAGCTATCAATTTGACACACCTGGGTAAAGGGAACTTCAATTGAGGGGTTTCTCCATTGGACTGGCTGTGGCCACATCTGTGGAGCATTTTCTTGATTGTTGAGTGATGCGATGTGGGAGGCCCATGTAACTGTGGGTGATCCCACCCCTGGGCAGGTGGTCCTGTGTTCTAGAAGAAAGCAGGCTGAGCACAGGCCAGAGAAGCAAGCCAGTAAGCAGTGTTCCTCCATGGTGTGTGCTCCAGGTTCCTGCCCTGAGTTCCTGCCTTGGCCTCCCTTGATGATGGACTATGAGCCATAAGCCAAATAAACCCTTTCCTCCCCAAGTTGGTTTTGGTGAGTGTTTTATCACGGCAATAGAAACGAACTAGGACATCATGTTCTTTAAGTAACCCCTCACCCACACTCCTGTAAGTAACCCATACCCATGTTCCTCTGAGTAACCCTTCACCCACACTCTAGTAAGTAGACCCTCACCCATGTTCCTTAAGTAAGTCCAATCAACTGGCTCGCCATGATGGACATGGTTGGAATTGCTTTTTGAGTCTGGCATTGGTGCCCTATCTGGAGTCAGTAGACATTTGTTCACATTGCTTTAGAAAATGTAATGCATGCAGCAGGAACTGAAGCTTGGCTCTCCAATCTGTCAGTCTGATACTCCTTTATTTTACAGCAATAAAATGACTCAAAACATTGACTTGCAGGCTGTTTGTATACAGGTGGACTATTCAAATATTCAAGTGGCCATTTAAAGTTTGTATTTCACTGATTGTACGTCTGTAATTTTATTTGGTTCACAGGAGTACCCAGTGACAGAGAGGAAAACTAAGATGCATGTTCCCTGATGAGATTCAGATTTGCATACCTTGACTAGTGGGCCTGTCTTCTTTTGACTACAATTCTTTTCTATCTAATGACCTCTGCTTTCTTTTTGTTGTTATTGAGGATTATTTGCTTCAGCCATCATGACCCCCTTCTTAAACGTGGGGGTCCAGTCTTGGGATTCTTTATATTCAGTATAGGGCCTGTCCTAGTTAGCTTCGATTGCTACTTTGACACAGTCTAAAGTTATCTGATAGTAGAGCCTCAAGTGAGGACTTGCCATAAATCAGATTGGCTTATAGGCATGTCTGCAGGAGACTGTCTTTATTATTAGTTGATGCAGAAGGGTCCAGTCCACTGTGGGTGGCACAATTCCCTAGGTGGGTGGTGCAGGGCTGTATAAGAAAGCTTGCTAAGCAGGAGCCTGTGAGCGAGCCAGCCAGCAAGCAGCACTCCTCCATGGTTTCTGCTTCAATCCTCTGCTGATTTCCTGCCCCGATTTCTTTCCCTCAACG